CGCTGGTCACAGACCCGCCTGTCAGACTGGTGGTACAAAGCGTTGAAGGCGAGGGATGGGGGGTGATTGCATATCTGTATATATGTAAGAGTTCGTGTATGTGTAGGCCTGGAGAGTCGCTGCGCCTGGCTTCATAATCTAGGTGTCTCAAGTCCGCAGGATTTTCATAGCGATACACAGCAAGTTGCCATGGAGACAACCCTGATCATGTCCCAGACAGAGTCAACAATCAGCAGGTGTCTGTGGGGAGTGGGGGAAGGAACGCAAGAGCGGCTCACTGCAGTGCTCTTCCGGGGGTGTTGTTGTTCCAACAGCGGCCTTGGCCAAGGCCAGTGCTGGATGAGGGGGGCCGAAAGCAGATAAGATTGGGATTGTTTGGTCTTGGGACGAGTAGCCGCATTCCGATTTACACAGCTCCTGGTCCATTTTGGTCTCTGAAACGATCCATTTGCCTTTGCAAAGCTGTGAGCTTCTCCATGATGTTATCCATATAGTGGTTCATAGACCCAGTCTGAGTGCTGACAGCTCTGCCCACTGCTTCAATCATGACGGGCAGCCTTGTGGAGCTTTGGACAGCTGTCGCCGACTTCTTAATTCCTCGATAAACCAGGGCAATGCCTGATCCATTCAGCAGAAAACCTGTTATCATGGTTCCGAATAGGTAGACATCTTCAATGTCCTCCACGGAAAGAGCCGCCAGACACTCGACCCGCCACCTCTCCCATGCGTCCATCGTGTAGCCAGCTGCGAACGTTCCGGCAGGGCAGTCAGGTTCCCCCGAACCCAAGCTTCTTGTCGAGAAGATGGTGTCAATTGCCTTGAGAGACCAGTTGATCAAATCCATAATTTCTTAGTTTTGGAGAGCATTATAAACCACATCATGGATAAAGTTTACAAAGCCATAGTCAGGTGAGGATCAAGGGTCTTAATATATAATATAATAATAGTAGTCAGCTGATTGTCTCACGAACGTAACCAGCACATTTCTCCCCACATAGCAAACCCATAATACAGCGAGGGAGAAGAACCACATGAAACTATCCAACTACATATTTTTTCTAACAGGGTAGTAAAAGTTTAGCTGGCTAATATGAGCTGTTATGCTGTAGGGCTGTGGCTGAGGTGGTTAAAGCGTAAAGCATTGTTTATACTTGACGCGTCCGCACGAGCGCAAAGGTCCCCTAGACACCATTTACTACACACAAATTAATAAATAATAATGAATACAAATATTGTTTTTTTTTCTCTGGTTTTGAAAACTCTTCGCGATCGACTTAAAATGCTTCCAAGATCGACTTGTCGACCGCGATCGACGTGTTGGTGTCTCCTGTAACGTTACTGTTTTACGGTCAATAGTACTAATCAGCTGATTGTCAAAGTATAACACAGCGAGGGAGAAGAACTAAGTTACATGAAACAATCCAACTACATATTTCACACCACTGACAAGGGAAAAGTCACTACTCACGGTGTCTATGGCTAGCTTCTGCGGCTTCTCTTTCAAGGTAGTGACGAAACGCGCTCTGTAGCGCTGTTTGTTCGCTGTCGGCTACGGTAGAAACATGACGTCACAATATGTCGACCTTCATAGGAGGGGGTGCCCGCGGTTATGTAGGTATAAATGTCTCATTCTAAGGTAATAAAAACATAACGGTTCATTGAGTAATGTCTTTATACACCACTGAACACATAGTTATGGATCTTATATTGCATTTCTGTCAATAGATCCTCAGAAATATTACACATTGCACCTTTAACCCGACCATAACCCGAAAATTGAACGCTTGTAAACGTAGTCACTGATGGAAATGTCTATTATAGGGTGACCTGTTATTCACCTTTTTTAGACGGCAAAAACCTCTCTAATTACTCTGGTTTATAACCCAATTAAAAAGAATAATAATAATAATAAAATACATAGCATATACACTCACCTAAAGGATTATTAGGAACACCTGTTCAATTTCTCATTAATGCAATTATCTAATCAACCAATCACATGGCAGTTGCTTCAATGCATTTAGGGGTGTGGTCCTGGTCAAGACAATCTCCTGAACTCCAAACTGAATGTCAGAATGGGAAAGAAAGGTGATTTAAGCAATTTTGAGCGTGGCATGGTTGTTGGTGCCAGACGGGCCAGTCTGAGTATTTCACAATCTGCTCAGTTACTGGGATTTTCACGCACAACCATTTCTAGGGTTTACAAAGAATGGTGTGAAAAGGGAAAAACATCCAGTATGCGGTAGCCTGGTTAAAACCAGACCATTCTCAGTTGTAACTGAGTTATGGTCTGGCAAAGCGTCATAGACAAATCATTTCCAGAGGGGCGTCACCAACGGACGTCGCGGATAGACCTAAAACCAATCAGAGTGGTGAAGGAGATGACGTATGCAGAGCGGTGGAGAAACATCTCGGAGTGTTGTTCTTTGCTCGGTTTTTAACAAAAAGGAAACGTTCAAATCGCTTAAAACAGATAGCTGATTCGAACGAGTGATGTTTGACGGCGGCAACCATCTTTGTAATGTAAGTTAGGCTACAAAATCTGCTTCAAAATCCCAGCGCTGTCGTCATCATGTAAAGCCCGCCCCGACGTTTCTGTTTGGTGCCTCGATTTCGACGAATTGGAAATGGGCTTGAATGAGCTCTTTGCCAGACTAACTTTCAGAGCAAATCTAAATTTGCCGGAAGTTGTCCGGGTTTTCCCAGGCTAAATATGTGGCAGTCCTGTGGGCGAAAATGCCTTGTTGATGCTAGAGGTCAGAGGAGAATGGGCCGACTGATTCAAGCTAATAGAAGAGCAACTTTGACTGAAATAACCACTTGTTACAACCGAGGTATGCAGCAAAGCATTTTTGAAGCCACAACACGCACAACCTTGAGGCGGATGGGCTACAACAGCAGAAGACCCCACCGGGTACCACTCATCTCCACTACAAATAGGAAAAAGAGGCTACAATTTGCAAGAGCTCACCAAAATTGGACAGTTGAAGACTGGAAAAATGTTGCCTGGTCTGATGAGTCTCGATTTCTGTTGAGACATTCAGATGGTAGAGTCAGAATTTGGCGTAAACAGAATGAGAACATGGATCCATCATGTCTTGTTACCACTGTGCAGGCTGGTGGTGGTGGTGTAATGGTGTGGGGGATGTTTTCTTGGCACACTTTAGGCCCCTTAGTGCCAATTGTACATCGTTTAAATGCCACGGCCTACCTGAGCATTGTTTCTGACCATGTCCATCCCTTTATGGCCACCATATACCCATCCTCTGATGGCTACTTCCAGCAGGATAATGCACCATGTCACAAAGCTCGAATCATTTCAAATTGGTTTTATGAACATGACAATGAGTTCACTGTACTAAAATGGCCCCCACAGTCACCAGATCTCAACCCAATAGAGCATCTTTGGGATGTGGTGGAACGGGAGCTTCGTGCCCTGAATGTGCATCCCACAACTCTCCATCAACTGCAAGATGCTATCCTATCAATATGGGCCAACATTTCTAAAGAATGCTTTCAGCACCTTGTTGAATCAATGCCACGTAGAATTAAGGCAGTTCTGAAGGCGAAAGGGGGTCAAACACAGTATTAGTATGGTGTTCCTAATAATCCTTTAGGTGAGTGTATAACATAATTTGAATATTCATAAGGGGTCTATTTAGGTAAAATGAGAGGAAAAGTTCACCTAATAAAAGAAAAACAGATTTTTTTTCTATAGTAAAACAAATTTTGGAGATTGTTCTCACTGTTAGTCGATATGACTGCTGAAATCATACGAGGCTTTGTGTGAGGAACAGACTCAAATGAAAATAAATTTCAGTCAGGTCATTATAAAGCATTAAATGACTTCAGTTCAGAAGACTTGGAATATGTGCAAGATGTATGAACGACTTTTAAGGTACAAGAGATATTCACTTTCCGTTCTTGTATGTAAATTAGCAGCCTGGATATATTAGCCCCAAAATAATAATAATGTGGGTTTGGAATTTTTCTCATAATTTTAAATCAAAATACTTCAAAAACGTCCCCTCCCTCTTGCAGCAACAACTCTTCTCTTCACTGATGATGCGTTTACTTGAAGGCGGGGCAACCTGTCACTCACATGAGATCGACCAATAGCAAACCACAACCATCAGTCAATTCCCCATGGACAAAATCTAGTGACTTGTATTACATTAACCATCAGTGTAATAAACTGACCGTACACAAACACACCCTCACACCAACACAGTACAAACTCTCTGATGAAAGAAGACACACTGAATGAATGGGATATCCAGACAGATTTGTAAAAGTAGTCAACTGTATTTATTTAGATATGTATTTTAGTATGCATATAGCTTATCGTTCAGGACTGATGTTAATCAACTCAGTTAAACCGGTTAGAATGATAGCATAATAATCATAATGACGACAAATAACTTGACATCATATGTCATAAACAATGGAGGAGATGCTGAAACATGAGGCATGAAACATAAATCTATATATATTTAGCTTTGTTTTACAAAATAAATGTCTAAAATAAATATATTTAGCAAACATTACACCTAGCTTAGCAGATACTGTATTTGCAGAGGAATGATGTTATATGGAGAATAGATATTTTTAAGTTAGCTGTTATTAAATCAATTCACATTATTGTAATCTCAATACAATATTAATAATATAATATGAATAAATTAGTAGTAATCAAAGCATTAATCATTACTCTAAAAGGAATAATTCACAATTATCATTCTGTCATCATTTACTCACCAGCTAATTCAAACATGTATGACTTTGGGTTTTTTTTAGAACACAAAAATGAAGATATTTTGAAGAATGTGCTGATCACACTTTTCCAACAATGTGAATGAGGAGATATTTAAGCAATTATTCGTTGATTATCTTAATTTTGATAATCTTACTCTCATTATATATATATATATATATATATATATATATATATATATATATATATATATATATATATATATATATATATAAATCTCCTTTTATATTCTGCATAAAAGTCAGCTTTGGAACGGCATGAGGGTGAGTAGATGATAACAGAATGATAATTTCTCTGTGAACTACTTTAAGTTTTCTCGTCCTCTCGCTCAGTGTTTGCCAACTCTTCTTCACTGGGATCTGGATTCTCTTCTGTCTTTTCTTCTGGATCTCCCTCATCCTCTGTTTTCTCCTGGTTTTCCTCTTCTGTTCCTTCCATTTGTTTCTCTTCTTCGTCCTCTCTATCAGACTCTCCGTCCTTCTTCTCTTCACTGGTTTCATTTGCCTCTGGCCCTGATGTCAGTCCCGTTTCCTTTATCTCTCCATCCTCTTCTTCCTCTTCATTTTCTTTTTTTTCATCCTCCTCTTTCTCTTCTTCCTCTTCTTTTTTTTCATCCTCTTCTTTCTCTTCTTCCTCTTCCTTTTCTTTTTTTTCATCCTCTTCTTTCGTCTCTTCTTCTCCGTCACATGGTGATTCTTCTGTGTTTTGAGCTGGTTCACTCTCTATTTTGGATGAGTCGTCTACTTCTGTGTTTTGGGCTGGTTCACTCTCTGTTTTGGATGAGTCGTCTACTTCTGTGTTTTCGGCTGGTTCACTCTCTGTTTTGGATGAGTCGTCTATTTCTGGACTGGCCTCTGCTGCCTCCTTAATTAAACAACATTATAAATGAGTGTGTGTGTGTGTGTGTGTGTGTGGCCTGGTAATCCCCTACATTGTGGGGACAAAATGTCCTCAAAAATATGGCAATATCAGAAATCCTTTTCCTTGTGGGGACATTTTTTGGTCCTTATGAGGAAAATAGCTTAGAAATCATACTAAATGATGTTTTTTGAAAATATAAAATGCAGAAAGTTTTGTGTGATGGGCAGGTTTAGGGGTTGGGTTAGTGTAAGGGGATATAATACAGTATACAGTTTGTACAGTATAAAAATCATTATGTCTATGGAATGTCCCCATAAAACATGAAAACACAATGTGTTTATGTGTGTGTGTGTGTGTGTGTGTGTGTGTGTGTGTGTGTGTGTGTGTGTGTGTGTGTGTGTGTGTGTGTGTGTATTCGTATTCGCTACAGTATGGGGACATCTGTCCCCCCAAGGGACTAAATGTACTAAACGTACCAAAGTGTTTTAAAAATCTAAAAATGAAAAACATTGTCTGTAATGGGTAGGTTTAGGGGTAGGGTTATATATATATATATATATATATATATATATATATATATATATATATTAATATATTCTTGCAAAGGCTGAAAAGCTTTCTGAGTAACTCTGTTATGAAATGAACCATATGTGTGCAGATTGAGTTTATGCCTGTCTAGTAAGAGTATTAGAGATCATGATGAGGTTAGAGCATCTCACCTGCTTGACTGGTGAAGACTTGTCATTCTCTGCACTTCTGTCCTCTCCATCATCTGCACAAACACACACATAACAGATAAAACAGCAGCGCCATCCATTGGTCAGGATTAAAACTACAAAGTAATTGCTGCAGGTCAATAGTTACTACTACTTTACACATTAACAAACATCTGGTCATGTATCTAAATCCTAACTGGTAACACTTTACCAAGTAACATTAGTTAACTGCATTAGTTAACTTGAACTAACTAAGAAAGAACAATTCTTCTACAGCATTTATTAATCTTAGTTAATATTAATATCAATATTTACTAATACATTATTAAAATCAAAATTTGTATATGTTAACATTTGTTAATGCACTGTGAACCAACATGAACAAACAATGAACCGTTATATTTGTATTAACTAATGTTAACAATGATGAATAATTAACAAATGTATTGCTTATCGTTAGTTAATTTTAGTTAACACATTAACTATGTTAACAAATGACACCTTATTGTAAAGTGTTACCTCCTAATTTGATGCTTCTATAAAAGACTTTAAAAAAAGATGGGAAATGTCTTTCATGTCTTAAAGTTTTAATATTTTTAACTGTATCAATAAAATTAGCAAATGGCCAAAAATGAAATAAAGAAATTCGTACATAGGCCTAGTTATATAAAATACTGTAATATTCATTTATGAAAATTTGTGATTTTATTGGTGAAATCAACGGTGACCAATATGATCAACATTCCAAGATTTGTTAAAATGGTACTCAGATATGGTAGATTTAGCCTCAGAACTCCAACAAGCATGTACAGAAATAGCCCTATGTCCCACTCTTATTAAAATCTCTCATTAATTAATTAGAGTCGATTTTAAAATGACCATTAGCTTTCAATGGTTCGGTGTAATTATTTTTTGCAAGATTTACAGTCATACCATTGTACTCTCTAGTAAACAAGAAAATTACAAGAGTGTTTTAAATACTTAATGAGCAATAAATCCAAACATTGTGTGAAATCAATATACTCTAAATAATTAAACAGCAGAATTAATGCACCTCATTTAAGTTCACGCTTTCCCCAATAGCGGCTATAAAAATATTGCTGTGCAGATGATAGCATTTCACCCAGGCATTTAATGCGTTTCAAATGCAAAACTGATTGAAGTTTAGCAGCAGAGATGAGCCGCCGTAGCAATAATGGGCTTCTTTGAATATTTTATGGAAATCGCTCACATTTATTAACTGTAGTCCAAAACCCAGACTGTAAGCAGGACCGCTAATGTAACAATAAACAGTTAAATGTGATTGAGAGAAGGGCTCGTCTCATAAAAATGCTAAATCAAATTAAATAACATTTTAAAACCTGCCTTCATTAAAGGCTGCTGGATGGGGGATGGGGGATGGGGGAGGGGGTATAAAGCCTGACTCGAATGACGCAAGTTTTGCCGCCTGTTTTTAAGCCTTCATTTCCAACACAACTAGTGTTAGTTAGTTTTATTTCTCTGCATATTAAATTAGACTTCAGTCTTGCTTTCTGCCGTCTGTGCATAAGAATCACTGTATGTCACTGTGTAGTGTACAGACAGCTATAAACTGTCCAAGAAAAGGCTAATCACAATTATGGAAATATAACGTTGACATGAGGAGACAGTCAAACTTAAATATTACGGCAACATACTCCAGTAGGGTATCAACATACATTCGTTGTTGATTGGTTACATTAAAGAGTTAGTTCACCCAAAAATAAAAAATAATTTCATCACTTACTCACTCTCAAGTTGTCTTCTGCTGAACACAAAATAATATATTTTAAAGAATGTTGGTAATCAAACAATTGACGGTAGCCATTGACTTCCATAGTAGAAAAAAATATCATATGTAAGTCAATGGCTACCGTCAACTGTCTGGTTACCAACATTATTCAAAATATCTTCTTTTGTGTTCAACAGAAGAAAGAAAATTGTACAGGTTTGGAACAACATGAGGGTGAGTAAATGAAGACAACATTTTTATTTTTGGGTGAACTAACCATTTAAGAACTGCAAACATGTTTTGTATTACAAGTTTTCTGAAATGTTATGTTTAAATATGCAAATGAGGCATTATTTAATTAATTTCCAAAAGAGAAATCTCAACACTGGAGGAAGCTATAGGTTCAAAATTCTTGTTTTATTTTTTTACATGTTAGGGTTAAAGGATTTTACACAGGGGATTTAAGATATATTTTTTAATTCACACACAAAAAAAAAAAATGCAAATCAGGCAAATGCCAAATTAATTGATTTGGTGTAAGTGCTGCTAAAGTGGATATTTCTGACTTTAAATATATGTATTGTAATTGAAATCTACAGATGCAAATAGATATAAGTGCAATAAAATATACACTTAAAAGTGTATTTTAAATGTTTTCTTTCCACTAGTCTGAAACAACACGTTATGAAAAGCCAAATATAGGCCAAAATCTCAAATTTGACCAGTGCAAGAAAAAAAAAAAAAGTTTTTGCCTGAGGTGTCTTGCTTTAAATTTACTAAAAGGAATAAGGTTTACAACAAAGCAGTAATCTAAAGCATACATAACCATAACTGAAACGTAACCATAACAAAACAAAGTCTCAGCGGTTCAGGCACAATCAACCACATAATTTTAACACTTAGTGTTAGAGGTTTAGAACAAACTCTGAAAAAAAAAAAAAAAAGATTGAAGAACATCATCTACTCCATTCAGTTAGAAATGAAGACTTTCACAAAAGACGGTGACAAGTAAACAAAGCAGCACTACAAGTGAGATGTGTGTTGGAAAGACCCGTGTCAGATGTTCAGCACTTCTCGGACGATTTTACACAAAAGACCGGCTCCAGCGGTGATGTGAAGAACTCACACATGTGAAGCTGTTAAGGCAGTCATTGGTTGCTAGGCACTGGGCCAATCTTTTTAACTCCCGTGGCTCGGAGAAGAACAAGTCCTGCTGTTTACACGCTACAGAGGAGGTATTTATGGATTATTTTAATAAAGACCTACTAAAGCTCGCTATAGCTTTCTCTCATACATGTTACCAAGCAAACTACACGACCCACGAGACGGAGCATCAGAGTTGCTCCGCTGTCATGAATTCTGCTTTACATCACTGTTTGTGACAAGCTTTACTTTCGTTCTTAGACCACGTGATGCATATTGAATCTGATGCAAATCAATTACAGCAGAAGCAATTGAGCCAAACAAAAGAATATGGTAATAAAATGTGCAAATGCGATTGGTATGCATGCACCTGGCATCAAACGCGTTGAATGATTTTGCTCCTATGCAAACGAGGACAAAAACATGTGCTGCTCCAGAGGCAACCAATCACATTCTTAACCTCATCAAAACTGATAGTGTATGAAATATGTATGACAGAAACAGTTCATCTGATGATAAAATTTCACTTTTATAATTTGAGGTTGCTATGCACTTGAGATTCTTTGGGTGTGTATAAAATATTAAACATGTATTTCAACTATTTATTGTATTAAGAATTTACAGGTCATATACAGTATCTCACGAAAGTGAGTACACCCCTCAAACATTTTAGTATATCTTCTTAAGGGACAATACTATAGAAATGAAACTTGGATAGATTTTAGAGTAGTCAATGTGCTGGTTGTATAGCAGTATATATTTACTGTCCTCTGAAAATAACTCAACATACAGCCATTATTGTCAAAATAGCTGGCAACAAAAGTGAATACACCCTAAGTGATAATAGCTGTATGTCGTTTAATCATGCAAAGCCACATGTCCTATTCATCATTTTCATGTTTTTGTCTGCTTGACAGGACCATACAAATTTGTGTATCTTGTATTAGAGCAGTTAAAATTTGTGCTTTGAGTACAATTCTCTCATTCTGACCACTGGATGTTCAACATGACACCTCATGGCAAAGGACTCTCTAAGGATTTGAAAATTAGAATTGTTGCTCTCCACAAAGTTGACCTAGGCTATAAGAAGATTGGTAACACCCTGAAACTGAGTTACAGTACAGTGGCCAGGGTCATACAGAGGTTTTCCAAGACGGGTTCCACTTGGAACAGGTCTCGCAAGGGTCAATCAAAGAAGTTAAGTCCTTGTGCTGTGCATCAGGTCCAGAAGCTGGCTTCAAAAAACAGACGCATGAGTGCTGCCAGCATTGCTTTAGAGGTTGCTCAGACCATACGCCGCACACTGCAACAAGTCGGTTTGCATGGCCATCGTCCCAGAAGGAAGCATCTTCTGAAACTGGCTCACATGAAAGCCCGCAAAACGTTTGCTGAAAGCAACCTGTCTAAGAGCATGAATTACTGGAACCATGTCCTGTGGTCTGATGAGACTAAGATAAACTTGTTTGGCTCAGATGGTGTCCAGCATGTGTAGCGAAGCACTGGTAAGCAGTACCAAGAAAATTGTGTCTTGCCTAGAGTCAAGCATGGTGGTGGTAGCATCATGGTCTGGGGCTGCATGAGTGCTGCTGGTATTGGGGAGCTGCGCTTCATTGAGGGAAACATTGATTCTAACATACTGCCAACATTCTGAAGCAGAACATGATGCCCTCCCTTCAGTAACTGGGCTGAATGGCATGATAACGACCCCAAACACACCGCCAAGATGACAACTGCCTTGCTGAGGAAGCTGAAGGTGAAGGTGATGGAGTGGCCAAGTATGTCTCCAGACCTGAACCCTATTGAGCACCTGTGGGGCATCCTCAAGCAGAAGGTGGAGAAGCACCCTGTATCTAACATCCAGCAACTCTGTGATGTCATTATGGAGGAGTGGAAGAGGATCCCAGCAACAACCTGTGAAGCTCTGGTGAATTCCATGCCCAGGAAGATTAAGGCAGTGCTAGATAACAATGGGGCTCACACAAAAAAGTGACACTTTGGATACAGTTTTGACATGTTCACTTAGGGTGTACTCTCTTTTGTTGCCAGCTATTTTGACAATAATGGCTGTATGTTGAGTTATTTTCAGAGGACAGTAAATATATAACGCTATACAAGCAGCACATTGACTACTCTAAATCTATCCAAGTTTCATTTCTATAGTAT